AAAACTTATTTAAAAGTTATAATTGTAATTAAAAAATTATTATATAGTCATATATCCATTATTTGCAAGTATTTTAGCTATTTAGATAAGTTCCTTACCTAAACTGTAAAAAGATTAAGGCCTTGTTTGGTATAGCGGTTTTGGGGCAGCGATTAGCCTTGTTTACACCATAAATTGCAAAATTTTAAATTAATGCCACGTGTAAAATTTTTATTGGCTGGAGGAGTTTGAGTCATGTCAGATTCGGATTCTGGGTCCCATGACAGATCAGCACATGTGTTGGCAAGATAGGAGAGGTAAAGATAATGTTTTATGGAGTGATTATATTCTTGAAACAGAAAGAGATAATGGCAGCTGGAAAATAGGGGAGGATCACAGTTTTAAAGGGGATTTTATCTGATAAAGCACAGGTGGCGAAATCTGAAAGGGGATTAGACTAGGTCAAAAGGTGAGGTGTCCCACTACTCCAACAAACTAACCATGATTGAGTAACTGCCGGCACAAGAAGAACAAAAAGGGAACTTTGGCAAGAGAAACAGACGGCCAGCCCTACTCAAACAACTGCAACTTTTCATACTTTGATTTTCTCTGCACATGCTTCCAGATTTCGGGTTTTTCAGCACAGATTTCATATTTCAGCACAGATTCCATTGGAATTAGGTTGTTTTTCCTCATTCCAGTAGACAAATTTATTCCTATATTCAGTTAAAACAATTTTCCTTCATGCAATGAACTTCAATCCTTCAAGTTTATGCAAGGTATTGTTTTCTTTTCATTTGTAATTAATTTAATGTTTATGTTAAGTAGCATTGCTTCAATGATTACTTATGTGACCTTCAAGCTTCTTTCCAATTTCAAGTTTCTTCAATTTATTCACTGTTCACGTTATTTATTCACTGTTCACGTTTAATTTCAGTGCTAATTAGGTTTAAGTTTCCAGATCTGCAGCAATTTAATTTCCGAATCTGTCAATAGATTGCACTTTTAATTTTACCATAAGCAAGTTTAATTTAATTTGGGAACACTTCTTTCTCGTAAGTTTATTTTAAATTGCAAGTAATTTAGAATAATTAGGATTTGTTAATTGTAAGTCACGGTAGTGTTTAAGTCCTTGGAGTTGTCCAAGGCAGATTTCGTAACCCATTCTGCAGGAAGGTATCCCTCCCTCTTGCAAATCGTCTGAAGGTGCAAATTTCATTTTAATCCAACGTTCTTCCCGCCATCTGCGAAGAGGTCGACTGTGAGGAAGGAGAGGGTCATTGGGAAAGTCCTCCTTTCTTACTTTCAGCAAAGTAAGTGGCACGCCCGCATCAGATTTCACACGTGCGAAGCCACTAGAAGATTTTTGAGGAAACAATCCTTTTTTGGCACGCCCGGTGGGACATAATCGTGTCTTACTTACAATTTTCATATCCATTGTTCTTTTTTCCAAGAAAAAGTGCAATTATGCCACCAAAAAGAAACCTGGGGAAGGCTGTCCAGACTTTACAGATTGGGCTTGGTGAAGGCAGTCCAACACACTCAGAAGGAGAGAATGAGCCAATCATTCCACCACCATTGTCACCAATACTTAGGGAGCATTCTTTTGTCAATCCTACCTTCAACAAGGGTAGTGAATCTGGAGATGATGTTGCTCAATCTGGTGATTCTCTTGTGAAAGCTGTGTCATATCAGATTAGCATCATGAGGCACACACTGATGGAATCTGAGGAGAAAGCTCGACAAAGAAGCCAAGAGGTTTCTAGGCAGTTGGATGAGTCTTTTCAAAATCTAGCTCAAAATTTGGCTCAAAGTGTAGCCCAAAGTGTAGCCGACATGCGGCGATCCAATGAAGAAAGTAACAGAATCTGGCGCGAACAAAATGCAGAAAATTGGAGAGCTTTCCAAGATGAAACAGAGCGAATGCAGGAGGCATTTTGACGTGTCAGAATTGAGCCTCAGCCACAAGTAGCAGATCTTCAAAGGCAGAATCAGAATATTCCAGCTCCAACATTCAAGGGGCAAGTAAATGTGCCACAGCCACCTCCCCAAATTCATCAGGTAGTAGGCGGACCAGTGCAGCCAGATCCTGTTGAGGTTGCACCACGTGCAGCAGATCTAGGAAATCACCAGCATCCTAGATATCTGCCACCTCCGCACCAACCAAATGGAGGACATCAACAACGTAATGCACCTCCACAAAGGGAGCATTTCCAGCCATATGTGCCACCTGTGCAGCAAAATCTTCCAAATCTGCCAAGACAGTACATCAATCGTGATCAGATCATCGACATGGTGCAGGAGGCTTATGGTCTAGTTCTGAGGCCTCTTGTCAGGCCTGCCTACAGAAAACTATATCCAAATTTCATAGACCAAGAGAATCCTTTTCCAAGGGGGTTCAAGGTTCCAGAATTCACTCTATTTTCCGGAGATGGTGGATATTCTACAATTGAACATATAGGCCGCTTCACAATTCAGTGTGGCGAGGCCTCCGGTGATGATAATCTGAAGCTCAGGCTTTTTCCTAGTTCTTTAACTAGTACAGCTCTCACCTGGTATCTAAGTCTGCCACAGAATTCTGTTTATACTTGGAGGCAGATGGAAGATCTTTTTCACATCCAGTTCTACCGCAGTGAGCCAGAAGTGTCCATGGCAGATTTATCTCGTCTGGTGCAGCGACCTGGGGAAACATCTGAGGCCTTTTTGGCCAGATTTCGGAAGGCCAGACTTAAGTGCAGAGTTACCCTGCCAGAACAGGAATTTGTTAAGCTGGCACAAAATGGTCTGGACATTGAATTGAGGAAAAAGTTTGAGGGAATGGAGTTTCGTGATTTCTTTGAGTTGTCTTACAAGGTGGCTCGTTGTGAAAATCTATTGCGAGAGGACACACAAAGGAAATCTGCATCTCATGGGACTTATTATGGTGATGCCAACTTTGATCTGGATGTGGCAGAAGTGGTGGCAGACGAGCCAATTGTTTGCCCAGATTTGGTTAAAGTGGCCCAGCAGACCGACAGAACAGTAAAACGTTATGTCGGAGAGGCTGGAAAATAATACACCTTTGACATTTCAAAAACTAATGAAATTTTTGACCACCTTAAAAAGAGTGGTTTAATTAAGTTGCCGCCGGGACATAAAATCCCAATGGCTGGCGAAATTGGAAATAGAGAATATTACAAATATCACAATTCTTGGAAACATTCCACTAATGATTGTGTGATTTTTCGGAATGTTTTACAGGATAAAATCGACAAGGGAATTCTGCGTTTTTCAGATAAGGCCAAAGAAACTATGGGAGTTGATGCAGATCCATTCCCTACCATGTCTGTTGGGGTGAATGCGGCAGATCTCAGGAGCATTGCCAGAGACAAAACTCAGACATACAATGGGCGCAGACTTGCAGCTGATGATCTGGGGTGGGTCATTGAGGAGGCCAGGGCCCGCAGAAATCAGGTCAGATCCGGTTCATACCGAAGGAGACAGCCCGGGGGGCATAACTCAACTCAATAGAAAAATAATGCAAATCAGGGAACTGCGATATTTGGACGCGTAGAAAAGCCCAGAATGGTGAAGCCACCACCCAGATCTCCAACCAAACGATGGGAACGTGTGGTGCATCCAAAATTTCCTAAAGGTCAGAATCCAAGGACCTTGAGGAGGCGTTTACAACGCAAAAAGGCCGCAGAAAGACACCGATAGCAGATTACAGACTCGGGGGGCATGGTAGATCAGGCACAGCCCCTCCCAGTAAGAAGAAAATCAGTGTGGGTCCGTAAAGAAAAAAGGAGTTCATCTTATCAGAATTCTCCAGAAAAGGAGGAACCACCTAGAATTCCAACATCACCTCGAATTCTGGCTGTGGAATCCAATGAAGAAACTGGTTTGAAGGCGAAGTTTGACGTGTCAGATAAAGCAGAAAATTCATCAGATGTAATCTGTTTTGGTGAGTTTTTTGTGAATCTATCTTGCTTGGTGATCACTCTTCCTTTAGTCTTTCAAGCAAGAGAGCAGTCAGAATCTACAGTCTGTCACCAGACAGATTTGACTGAGGAAGAAGAACTCATTGAGATCCCAGCTAAGGAAGATGGTAGCATGGATTCAGCAGATAAAATCATTTTCGAAAAACCAGAAGAGAGAATGGCCAGACACATCAGGCCATTATACATTCATGCACATCTAAATGGTATGCAAATAAATCGAGTTCTAGTGGATAATGGAGCAGCTGTCAATGTTTTGCCAACTTGTATTCTGCATAAGATCGGCAAATCTTTGGGTGATTTAATGGAGACAGAAGTGACAATCAGTGACTTTACTGGTGGAGTAAATCGCTCAAGGAGAATTCTTCCAGTAGGACTTACCGTTGGGAATAGAACTCTCATGTGTGCAGTCTTTGTGGTTGACACCATTGCCACTTATAATGCATTGCTTGGGAGAGGTTGGATACATTCCAGTTGGTGTGTTCCTTCAACTTTACATCAAAAATTGATATTCTGGAATGGTGGCAGAACTGAAGTCGTGACAGCAGATGACAAGCCATTTGTAGCAAGTACCAATGCAGTGGGAGCTCGTTATTATGATGAAAATATTGGGACTATCCATTTCTTTAGGATGGACCGCTATGGCATACCTTCTGGAATTACTGCATGCACAAGATCTACAATGGACAGACTGACTGACTGTGAAGGAGGTGTGTGATGAACTACTTTGGCCTACAGCAATTGTTCCTTTTAGGCCGAGGGAGGAACCTGAAATCGAAGAAATTCCATGAAGAAAGACCGAATTAAGCATCAGAAAAAGGAGGCCGTGGAAGAAATTAAGAGAAAATTAGCGGCTTACCTTGCTAAAAAACGAATCTGTGTAGACAGATCTGAAGTAGTCTATGAAGGTGAAAAGGAAGATTTGAAGGATCAGATAACACTAGAGGAATTAGATCTGGCACCAGCAAAGCTTGATGATCTGAAAGCAAAGGTACAAGATCCCCTGGATGAGGTAAATCTAGGTACTAAGGCAGATCCGAAAATTACTTTTATTAGCGGTTCTCTTAAGCCGTGTTTGCATGATAAAATTATTACTATTTTGCATGAGTACAAGGATTGTTTTGCTTGGGACTATTCTGAAATGCCAGGTCTGGACAGAAATCTGGTAGAGCACAGATTACCAATTAGACCAGATTTCAAGCCTTTTAAACAGCCGCCTCCAGAAGTTACTTTAAAAATAAAAGAAGAGATAGAGCGGTTGTTGAAGGTCGGATTCATCAGGACTTCCAGATATGTGGAATGGTTATCTAATGTGGTTCCTGTGGTTAAAAAGAATGGCAAGCTGAGAATCTGTGTAGACTTCAGAATTCTAAATCTGGGAACACCAAAAGATGAATATCCTATGCCTATTGCAGATTTATTGGTGGATGGTGCAGCACGCCACCGAATTCTGTCATTCATGGATGGCCACAGTGGGTACAACCAGATTTTTATAGCAGAAGAGGACATTTCAAAGACCGCTTTCCGCTGCCCAGGAGCTATTGGTACGTATGAATGGGTGGTAATGCCATTTGGTTTAAAAAATGCGGGTGCAACTTATCAAAGAGCCATGAACACCATCTTTCATGACATGATTGGTCGTTTTATGGAAATTTATATTGATGATGTGGTCGTAAAATCTAATGAGGATGAAGAACATTTGGAGCATTTAAAGCTGGCTTTTGAAAGAATGAGAAAACATGGTCTGAAGATAAATCCTTTAAAATGTGCATTTGGCGTTTCTGCTGGAAATTTTCTGGGATATCTGGTGCATGAGCGAGGTCTAGAAGTGGATCAGAACAAGGCAAGAGCTGTTAGTGAAGCACAGCCGCCAAGAAGTAAAAAGGAATTACAAAGATTCCTTGGGCAAGTAAATTTTCTGAGGCGTTTTATCTCAAATCTAACAGGAAAGACCAGAGTTTTTTCGCCACTGCTGAAGCTGAAATCAGAAGCAGATTTCAAATGGGAGAGACACCATCAGACCGCCTTTGAGGAAATAAAGCATTATTTATCAAAGCCGCCGGTCTTAGTGCCTCGTTTAAGAGGCAAACCTTTGATTTTGTACATATCTGCCGCAGATGAATCTGTAGGATGTCTGCTGGCTCAAGAAAATAGTAAAAAGCAAGAACAAGCTGTTTATTATTTGAGTCGAAGTCTGTCATAGACCAAAGTGAAATATTCTTCGGTCGAAAAATTGTGTCTTGCTTTGTTTTTTGCTGCAATAAAATTGAGGCATTATTTGCTTTATTCCGAGGTTTATGTTATTTCGAAAACTGATGTGATAAAGTTTATGTTGTCTCGACCACTGTTGCGAGGCAGAATTGGGAAATGGGTTCTGGCTTTGTCAGAATT